TTAACTTGATTAGATAACTGTTCATCAGTCTTAATTAATTCAAATAATAAAAATGTTTCCTTAAGTTGATGGATTTGATGTTTTTTAGTCTTATTGTTACTCTTACTTGTGAACCATAATGAGTGTGGCGCTTTTGGATTCTTTGTACATTTAAAAGCAGTCCTAAATAATAATACTAAGACAGGACTCTTTGCTGCATTTTAATAGCATCCAACTTCTGTTTTGCTTACACTGCTCTTTAAAGATAATTTAACACTTTAGTTGAGCCAAAATCCCAATGATATCACATTTGTCTGATGAAAACACCTTCCCACATATGTCATCAGCTTTTTTCCCTTTTGACTACTTGATGGCTTGGCCAGCGACCCTGCTGCAACCATAAGTCCATAATAATCATGTAATAAATTCCCCTGAAGGTTTAAAAGACCAGGCTGGTGACAGCCACAGTCTCACTGCTGCTCATCTGTCACTTGGTTTTTGCTTTTCCACACTGTGGTGATGACAACTCATCCCTCCAGGTTACCTTGTTTACAAAGCACCTGATACAGTGAGTCAACAAATAATATTCACCACTTGAACAGTCTGAAACTGTGAATGTCAGCAACGTAAAACACATTAGAGCAGATGTGGTGTATTTATGATAAAGATTCTTAAGATGGCATAATTGCCAAGTTCTCAGTGCAAAAAAATAAATAAATAAAATTACAAAATAATAAACCATGACTTGAAAAACTTCAACATTTAACTTAACACATCAATTCTGTGGGGTCAAGCATTAACCAGGGCAAATGGAACTGTTAAAAAGATGAGGTGAAATTAATTCTGTAGTAATTTTCAATAAAAAAAAAAGTGCCTACTATTTTTGTTCAGTTAAACCCTTTCCAGTTGGTGGACTGCAGATGATGTCTAATACATACGTTTTTTTCTTTTGTAAAGCAAATAAATAAAAACATACTTGTTCGATGTTTCCTCTCATGTAAAACAACAGTGTAGCTGATTAAACTTCAAAACGTTACACATTTCCAATGCAGTCTTTCAAGTAAATCTAACGTTTAAAAAGACTTAAATTGTATAGATTTCTTTAGTCATACCGGCTGCACGAAGGGCTTTATTTACAGCTACATTGATCCATTAGCTCTAAAAAACAGTTTGTGTGATCTGTGAAAAAAATGAATGATTTCTAACTTTGTATAGCTATAAACTTCTTGTCGTAATAAGTGGGCTATTGTTCTTTATGCTTATATGTTGTAGATGAAAAGAAAATTTAAGAGTAGAAAAAGTTCTAGTGTCTTTGGCAAAATAAGTGAGGGATTAGAAGTCAGAAAAGAGTCTGAGGTTTCTGAAAGGAAGACAGGGAAAGGTCAAAGGTGAAGGAGGCCGATAAAGGTGAGAGATGAGTGAAGATGAGGACTTCAGTAGTAAAGATGGGGGTGGTGGGGCTCTTACACAATTTAGATTTTTTTGTTCTATTTTCTTAAAGCATGACACATTTATAACTATCAGGATGAAATAAACATTTCACCTTGTGTAAAAAAAAATGCTTTTTGTACAGGATTACCAATTTAAGTGTTAATGCAAATGGATAGGCACTCAGGTGCAAAAACACGTACTGTATGATAAGAGGAAACTGGGGAAAAAAGCACACAAAAAAACAACTTTATGATAACACGATTTGCAAGCATATGCAAACTGACCCATAGAACTGCCAGACTGCACAAATGGGAACCTGGAACGTTGCTGTGACAGGTAAAGCTCAAGAAGAAATCATAAAAACAGTATTATTGACATTTATTTGCAATGTGGCTGTTGACATTAGCTAAGTCTAGAACTTTTGGCTAGATGACCAAGTACATTTTGCTGTTTGGCAAGCTGAAAAGATTTTTATTTAAATCAATAAATACCACAGGTATGAATATAATATTATGTCTTGCAAACTGGTTGGATTTGCTTTAATTATGATTATTGTAAACGTATGAGTTGCAACAATTTTGTCCCCTCCACTTTTGATAGCTATCCAATCGGATCACCCCACATTCACAAAACTGTGACACCCACATGCGCTTCTTCTATTGCTTCATGAAAGAATCCTTTCAGCTAGATTGATTACTTAAAGTATAAAACTCCACTTCATGTTATTCTCAGTTATCCACAACTTTTTAGCGCTTCTTTGAGCATAAACAAACATAATCAGGAATGGCAAATGAAAACTGGACAAGGTAACGTCAGTCTACATAATGTCTAGCTTTTGCTAAAAACTTTTTTTTTGACATAGCCATTTCATAAATTAACCCTTGGTTCATGTTAAATAACAGCTCAACTAAACATAATTTACCCATGAAGAATTTTGTTTTTATCTAAACAGTATTGTTATGGATTGATTTAAAATTTAGGAGAGAGAAATTACCAAGGTAAGCTTTTACATTATGTTGTTCAGTTGAGGTTGATTATCATGGTGTTCTTTGGCTGCTGGATTAGTATATGCTTGGTAAATTTACCAAATTTAAACTAGCCAAATCAGCTCATTGGGTTCAGCTGACTATGGACATTGCTGAAAATTGCCAAAATTTAGCACACCTCTCACAGCAGCATCAACAAAGCCTCCTGGCTCTCACCTTCAATCTACCACAGTAAGATAATTACCAGTCTCAGCTGTCCAGCTGCATATTCCGTTACTCTCCTCTCCCCCACAGTACTCTGCTATCCCAAGAACCTTCACCACTTCCAGAACTCTGTCTTCCACCCATCCTACTTCTCAATAAACACGTCAAACGTTTATCACTGTCTCCTGAGAGATCTTTGCATGTCCTTCAGAAAACTGCCTAAAACTACGATATCTGTTTTAATATAATGTGTGTTTATGCTCCTAATCGAGTAAAAATGTAATAAAAAAGTAAGTATTCCAAACTGAGCCAGGATATAAGTGTTTCTTATGATATAAGAGGGACTTATGATATAAAATCTAGACATTTAAGTTTAACTTTAATAAAACATTGCACTTTTCCTTGGCCTTAATATCCAATAGCCCTGTGGCGCAGAGCCAAAATTACTTCTGAAATGTATTCTGACTTTTGCCACAAACTGTGCTTATTCATTAAAATCCCTCTTCCTCTGGCCATCACTAACAACTGACCCATCTAAATGTTTAGGAAATACCAATTCTAAATGGAGGCATTGCATTATATCTGTGCAGTTGTTTGCCAAGATAAGAAACCATAAAAGGGAGTGGAGGAAAATGGAAGAAAAAAAACAGGGGATGAGAAGAAGCAACCATATTAAATGTGTTCATATAAAAAAAAGTAAAAAATCATCCGGGGAAATTAGCGAAACTGATATGTCTTTTCTAAAAAAAAAAACAGAATGGGAGCATAATAAATCAGGTTTCTATTGACCTCCAATTTATGCAGGCTAAAGAGAATTATAGTTAAGCATCTGCTAAAAGTAAACAATTTTATCATTCAATGGCTGTTCAAATTCTCTCTGTGCATAAAGGCTTAGACTAGACCCAGTATCCCACACATGGAACTAAACCCCATTAGGTAAATCCCTTGCTTTCACAGGGTCATTGGCAGGTTTCCATTTAGATAAAAGGTTTCTGCTAGGAATCAGGGAAATAAAAAATAATCAAAGACTGAGTAATTATTCAACAAAGCAAAGAGTCCTCTGAAATCTCGTGCCTCACTAAATAACAATGTGAACTGCTGGTCACAAGTAAAGATGAAACCATGATGACCCCAAAAGTCAATTTAATTTTGGGTTCTGAAGTCAGAATGAAAAGATTATAAAACAAAGAACAACATTTAAGGAACTATAAAAACAAGAAGTGAATCACATGTGTATTTTGGATTTTCTCTCATCCACAAAAGGTTTAGATCACAGAGACATCTATGTTTTTTTTACTTTTTTTTTTTTTTTTTTTGCATGTATCAGTAGGTTTGTTGGATAGTTATGTCAAAATAGGTTCTCTCTTATTGGCAGAACTAGCAGCTTTTCTGGCACATACCAAGCCTGTAATCTTTACCTTTTGTTTTTTTGTTTGTTTTATACATATATATATATATATATATATATATATATATATATATATATATATATATATATATATATATATATATATATATATATATATATATATATATATATATATATACGTATGTGTGTGTATGTGTGTGTGTATGAGATCCCTCTAGGAACAGAACAATGTTATGATGGTGTTGTAGTGTGATGCAGAAAGTGGATGGAATTACAACAAAAGAGGACCAAGTTCAAATTACTTCAAATCAAAGGCAACATTTTTGCACATTTAGTTTCCAATAATTCCAAAGCAAGCTAATATAAAGCCTCTAGAACAGTGTGACTTCAAACATACTGAACGCTTGTTCAAAATGCTAAAAAGTAAGATCCACTCTATGAAAACAACCAAGTTAAATTAACTTTACCAAGATTATGAAATGTAGAATTGTACTAAGACCTTGATTCAAAAATAGTATGAAATTGATGTACAATTTGCTAGTTAACTTTTTTGACAAAGGTGGAATAGAGAACATGCAAATATAAACTTCCAACACAACTAAAAATATATATAATATAGCATTTTGTCTTTCTTTGAAATGAAGATTGAAAAGCGTTATTAAAGTCAACCAATTTAATATGTTCTAAAGGAGTGTTGGTGTAAAAACATTTCATATAAGAGTCCATCTTGAATATGTATAATATTTTGATATTACACCAATTTAAAAGAACGGAAAAATGTACTTTCCAATACGTATATCTGTATACACAAATAACAAGTTGAAAAAAATGTATCAAAGGGTTTGGTTTTCTAAATAGGGATATCTTTAGTAGCAGAGGGAAGATTAGAAAATATCTTATTTTTTATCTAATATTTATAACTATTATATCCTTCTGATGTCATAATTTTTCCATGCTCTGTCATGCTATTCAGATCCATATCAGAAACAACACCAAATATAAAGGTTTTTCGCATGCTGTGATTTTCCTACCTTGCCAAGAATTCCCCTGAGCTGCCATTATTTTGTTGTACATCCATACAGTTTGTAGTTCCAGGAATGAGTGCCAGGGCAGGATTCTCCTGGGCGGCACTGCCCACTGCCCGTGCTACAAACTCTAGTGAGTCCTGAACATAATGATCCAGTGAAGGGGATCCCATCATTCCATGTGCAAGTAGCCCCAGTGGTAACCCGTCTGTTCTCAGCTCAGCCACATTTTGGCTGTCCCCCAAAACCCAGTGAAATTCCGGGAGAGTCATCCGAGTTGCAAGTGTCCATAATCTGCGCACCTCTCGAATGTCACACCCAAACGTTACCACTCCTCGTGTGGATGAATGTTCCCTCAAAGCTTCCAGCTGCTGAATGAGGCCTTGCTGCTGGTCTGGTTTGGAAGAAGAATTTGAAGAAAATGATGAGGCCGTTGGTGAAAAATAAGATAAGGATAGCACCTCCACTCCCACAGGGGCACTTGTTGTTTCTGCTGAGGATGATAGTGAAGATGATAGTGGTGGCAGTGTTGTTTTATTTAGGTTGACCAGAGCTCCCAAGCGGAACCGGGTGTTGTTTTTAATGAGGAGGAGAAAGTCACTGATGTTCCATTCCTGGCATAGGACAATGCTGATGTCCCACCAACCATTCATCATCAGCAGATAGTAGAGGAGCTGGTGCGGGGGGGCCGCTACAGACTGCATTGCCATTTGAAAATGAAGACCATTCTGTGAGAGGTATTAAAACTTGAATTAGAAATGAGCCAAGAGACAGAAAAAAATTGTTCATAGACTAAGCAGCAAAGTATACAGTTGGGTAGAGACTATTGAATATGTCTTTTTTTATGCTATTTAGTTTGATAAGGTAGTAGTGAAGTTACTTCCTAAATTATTTTAATAAATATATATCCTAATGATATTAATTACCCATCAGATGCAAGTAAAAAACAACAGAATACACACATACAAAGAAATCAGAACATAAATGACAATAAATTAACTTACATATAGAAAAGTCAAAGGACATAAAGGATAGGTATTCGAAATACAAAAGAAGACATTTTAAAATAGGCATTAAAACCCAAAAACTCGACTGAAATCTCCAAACATCCACTTAAAAGTATATGTTTTTGGGACATAGTTTTGCAAGCTAAATTTCAGCAAATATATATGAAAAATAATGGATAAAATTACAGATAGATTCTTTATGAGAATCTTAATTTTAAGTAAAGAGATTTTCCACGAGGCAGTGATTCTAAGTACACAGCAATGGAAAGAGTTTTAAATTAGTTGTGAGATTCTAGAATAGTTGAATATGCAATTGCATCTATGGACTTCAAACCTGAACAGAGCATGATGTGTTTTATCAATGTTTATGTCAGCATCTGTAGTCACTAAGTTTAAGGAAAACACCCAAAAAGTCCTAGTGATCTAAGTAATTAATTATATGCACTTCTATTATGTAATATCATCAACACAAACACGCTCAACACAAAATAAGCAATTTTCTGTGCCCTTTCTTAGGACTTTGTGTTTTGTAAACTCCTCAAATAAAAATCCATATTTCATTACAGTAAAAAGGAAAAAAAAAACTGCTTTAATGTAAAAAAAGGCTATTATATAGTTGAATTAAAGAAGAAATTTGTGCTGTTATTTGCTTTTCTATTTCTATGTATGTTCACAATTTTCAATAAAAAACAATCTAGCAGACTAATTATTCCCTGGTGCTTCAAAGGTGACTAAGTTTTAATATGCGGAGGTATGATTGTTTTTGGAAACGATTTAGCCAAAATACAGCCAGGACAGGCAGCATTAGTGTATTGACATGTTGGGATGCCTCCCTTTTGTTTCAGGCTGTATGCAGCCTCTAGATAAAGTCTAATTCTTTACAACCAAATATAAATCTAAAATCAACAACTTTTTTTACATTTCTAACACAAACATGGATAACATGTATTAAAAAAAGAATAGCAGATTACTGGTATTACAGACTCCTTAAAGCACGTTACACTCTACCTACAATCGCCTTACTTATTTACTTACGCACACAGACTGATAAACAGATACCAAGATTGAGGAGCAACTTGTTCTTAAGGGACTACTTATTCCAACTAAGCCACTGGTGCACCTCAGATCGTTGCCTGTGCAAGAAAGACATCTAGTAAAAAGATTAGACTAGATCAAAGTTAAAACTACAGTCAAGTACTTTAGAAACTGTTTATTATGAATCAGCAGGCAACAAGAACGCCTGCTTTCTCTTAGGAAACGTTGTTATATTGCACACAGTTTACAGGTTGCAAGTTATCCAGCTAATCAGTCAGTAAAGCTCTTGTTTGATGCAAGTGTATACTACTAAGAAAAGTTAAAAGGCCCCATAGCACCATGGCTTAATTGTCTTTAAAACTTCAAAATGAGCTTTGCACTAAAAAGTTATTTGATGAATATATTGGTTAAATCAAAACACCAAACTTCTCTTTAAATATATACCTACAGTAGATGAAGCATTTGTATGAAGAAGCAACAATTAACAATTAAACTTTTTTTTAGATATTGAATTCCCGCTTTGGGAGTTTGTAATGCAGTCTGCAGGGCATCACACTCTCACTTCAATACACATAAGGATTTAATCTTTACTGCAGCACTTCAGCAAATGTGTTGGCTTCTCACTTTTTTCTAAATGTAAGAAAAAATGACATATTTTCAAGAGAAGGCTTAGTAGCCCTGTCCTGAAACAAAAATAAATATGTTGTATTTTAAAGCACCTAAATGTCTTGGCTCTGTTGTTTGACGTGACATCTAATGTCTTTCTTTTCCATTAAAAATCTTCCCCCCTGTGATTATGCAATCTAAGAGACAGCCGCTGTGGCTTTCTGTATAAAGGCTTTAGTGCACAAGAAAACAGCAGACACTGATAGAGCCACAGAAAAGTGGACAAATAATAGTAGACGGTAATGACTGGGTTATTGAACTGCTTGTGATAAGATGGTATCTTGCAGGGAAAGCTATTCAATAAGAATTTCCTGAAGAAATCATCAATGTCCCAAAGCTGAATGGTTGGTTATCAATCTGAAGTTTACTGCTTATGTTGTTGCTAAACAAATACAAAAACTGCACAGTACACCTGTCCCTAAAACGAGGACTTATTAAAAATTCAATATACATATAATGTCTGGAGCCCAAAAATATGCACCCAATCACACTCATGTAAATTAAAATGATGTAATGAGAGTAATGGCAGGAAAAGCTATGAATAATGTAATCATAGATTGTGAGCTTCTAACCAAGCAACCTTGGTTTCTCTAAACAATGGAAAAATACAGAATTCAAAGAAAATAAAGAATTAACTTTGTATAATCTGAGGAAGTTCAGACCAATGAAGGAGTTACAGTAATAATATGGAGATAATTGGCAACCTTACATTTAACAAGTAAAGTAACTACTTACAGTTACAAGTTAGATTTCTCCAAAAGTAAACAATTACTAACTCATCATTACCAGAGATGGGAAGTAACGAAGTACAAATACTTCGTTACTGTACTCAAGTAGATTTTTCTGATATTTTTACTTTACTTTACTACTTATTTTTATGGCGACTTTTTACTTCTACTCCTTACATTTTTACACAAATATCTGTACTTTCTACTCCTTACATTAAAAAAAAAATTGTCTCGTTACTTTAGTTTTGAATCATTTCAATGGAGTTACCGTTATTATTTTTCACGTCATCAGTACCAAATTCAATCTAATTGGATGGGAATCTACGTTGCATTCGACGCACCACTACAAGATGAATCGACAGATTCGGCGGTATTCATTTGCGGCAAATCATTGCAGCTTGGTGGCGGTGGCGTTAGCATAGTAGTATGGACGACGAGATGATTGAAAATGAACACAACGGAGATCTAGTCCTATTGGCAGACATCCATTTAAAATGTAGGCAACAGCATGAAAAAAGTGGTTTCTACTTTTACTTTTATACTTTAAGTAAATTTACAAGCCTGTACTTTGTTAATTTTACTTGAGTAAAGAAGTTTAATCAGTACTTCCACTTTTACCAGAGTATTTTTTAACACAAGTATCTGTACTTTTACTCAAGTACGGAAAGTGAGTACTTTTGCCATCTCTGATCATTACACTATCAAAGTAGCTAATCACTACGCAAAGTAATTATAGTTTTATTTTTAAAAAATGTTAATGGATTTGGATGACTGTACTTTTAAACTAACTATAAATCAAACAATGGATTTAATGATCAAACATAAAATATTAAATAAATGACAACACTGCACACTAATCTTGACCTTTTAGCGTATATGGTGCAATTAGTGAGTCAAACACCTGCAATTATATTGTCTTAAATATGATAATTGTTATCATGTTGGATTTTCCTTTATTGTCAAAAGTGTATGCAATGCATCATATAAGCCTTCTTAGCCAATCGTTGTTGCAAAAGCCTCATTTTGGGCATTTTTACTCTCCCCCTGTGCTAGAAACGTTTTTGAATCTTATTGCTTTCATTTCCATTTTGAGTTGTTTTCTGGTTATATTTGAGTTATTATGCATTTCTAGTTCACCCTCTGTTGCCCTCTTGTGTCAGTCTCTTTCCCCTAACTCTCTTCTAGATTCTTATGTCCACACCTGTTCCTTGTCTGCTAATTAGTCCTCCCATTGTTTCTGTCTCCAATATATACACCTCCTGTTCAGTCACTCTTTGCTTGTTCATCATATTTTTTGATTCTCATGTGTGTTTTCCCTGAATTCTTTTAGATAATATTTTTTTTATTTTGCCTCAGTTGCCATTAGAATTATTAAACTTGAAAGAAACCAGCTCAGCTTCCATCTCTGCATTTGGGTCCTTCAAATCTCCATCCAACCTGAAAGTAAATAAAATAACAACATTTCCAAATGATAAAGTAATTAGTAAAGTTACTCAATTGGTTTAAAAAGTATACTGTTACAGAAAGAGTTATTTACCACTCCTTTACTCAACACTGTTTTAAGTTTTCTAAGACTAATGAGGTGTCCTCATCTCTTATGCAGACCATGTCTAATAAGCTCTATAGAAAAAGCTACTGCAGCTTGGTAAAGATCTGCAAAATGCCTTACAACAACTAAGAACTCCTAGATTAGGAATTATTTTTACAGTTATCTGATTAATCACTATGGAGAATTTACCTTCCTGACTATCTGGAGTAATTTTCTGAAGTCTGCAATTTTAATGAATGGCTTGAACAAGAAATTAGGGATTTGCTAAAATACATTTTCTAGACACTATGAAAATTTTTAAATTTTATAAGTTTTATTTCAGTATTAGTTCACAATCATATGAGTATCACACTTAATTTCAATCTGGTCAACAGCCACCACTTAACAAATACAGTCAAAATAAATATTAAGTTTTTCTAAAATGCTCAATGGAAGGCTGTCGTAATAAGATAGGTTGGATTTTTTCAAGGTTTTTTTACACTTCTTTACCAATTGTGGTAATAAATGTCGAAGACGCTGTAAGAATTTATCTGTCCTTTTATCTGCACTTAGCAGCAGCACATTCTTCATTACACCAAGCAAAGTCTCTGCGCTTTAAAGTGCTGTAAACAAAAAATACATTATGTAAAAGAAATGTTGCTATTAAATTGTAGGAAATGTGCAGCAATGACTGTCTCCTAAACCTTAAAAAGAAAAGCAGGAAGACGGATCCATACTGTGTAAAAAGGGACCGAAATTAAGTTTCCTGAAGCAGCAAGAATAAAAAGCATGCATCAAACTGCCTTGAAAATAACCAATAGTTTTAGAGTCATTGGAAATTTAAAAAAGAAAAAGAGTGTAGGTTGGAGGGGGTGAGTTCATTGCAAAATATGCTTTTTTTAAAGGCACGTTGTGTACAGTGTATGTTAAATGGTACATTTCTGGAGCTTTGCAAAGAAGGCAGAACAAATGTGGGGAATGCAATTTTTTAAGAAAGCATCTTAATTATAAATAAGACCAAATTAAGCATTTTCAGGTAGTAAAGAGTATTTTATTATGAAGATTATATTAAACAATTAACAGATAACAGGTAACAGGTAATACTAACTTTAAATATTATTTAATAATAATTGAAATTTTTTGATCTCGCATTGGAGAAATTTACCGCTGCATTTAACTCATCTCCTTAGGGAACAGTGGGTTGTCAGTGTGGGGCACCTGGAGAGTAGTGTGGGGTTAAGGGTCTTGCTCAGAGAGCCAGAGGGGCAGTCTGTGGGCGTGGGGCTCGAACTCAGAACCTCAGGATTCCAAGCTTTATGCCCTCACTATTAGGCCACCACTATCCCGTTATTTTGTTATTTTAAGTGTATTTTATGTTATTTATTAAAACACTTCAAACCGCTAATCCCGTGTTAGTCCAAAAGCCTTTTAAAGGTAGCAGCAAGTGTTTTATATTTATGTTTTGTAGTTACGCAAGTTTACTAATTTATATTTATAATTTATATATATTTACGTAGTGCTTAAATTTTTTTTATTATTATGTACTTTTAACCATAGTTTTCAAATTTAAACCAAATTTTTTATATACTTGACTTTTTGACAATTACATATGCTTTAAACGGTATAAAAAATGGCTGTCACTGGTTTCACTTGGATCATTCTTCTCCATAGGCTTAGATACACAATAGGATGGACTGACAATGCTCTGGATTGGTACAGAACCCCTACTCCACCCCTGCTCTTAACCTTTTGATCTGGAACTTTGTTCATCCATGTCTCCATCCTCTATGTCTAGCAGAAATCTCTTTTGAACTCATGTTAAATACATCTGCAAGACATTTTATCACTTCAAAAACATCTCCAAACTGCAATCCTTCAGTCTTTATGCAGTCTTTATGCAGTAATGAATAATATCATTCTTTAAGGCTCAATTATTGCAACCCAAGTTTCTAAGGAACGCCTCCAAAACCTTCAGTAGATACACAATAGTCCAGTCCAGCTTTTGAGAAGACTAGGATACATACCATCCCAATTAATCAGTCACTACACCGGCTCCCTTTACAAATCTGGATAAAATACAAAGTTTGTCTGCCAATGCAGCATTGTACACATCCCATAATCTTCACCCTATCTGAAAGAACTTTTTACTCTTCAGGCATCCATACGATCCCTCCGTTTAACAAGCTCTTACAGTCTCCTTCCCTCCTGGAATAAACTCAAAATCTGTGACAACACGGCCTTCTGCGCTGCAACACAGTTCTATTGCAGCATCAGAGGATGATATAGACTTTTTAGCAGTTTAAGGAAGAAGTGATGAATTTTTGAAAAATACCATTGTCTCTAAATATCATTTTAATTCTGCTGATTTTATATCCTGTTTCTGATATTGTAATTAATTTACTTTGTGTAGCATATTGAGGCTTTAATCAATGAAATACTTTATAAAAGCAATAAATTATCCTTATTATTATCAACTTCCAGAAAACCTGCTCAGGATAGACTTCCAAGTTTTATTCAATGGTATCAAAAAACACACAGCACAAACTATAACTCATTGTGGTCTGGGGAACCGATATTATTTGCTTAACTACTTCTCCAATCATTCTACAAAACAATTAAAAGCATCCCCACAGTTCTTAAATAATTCAGACTTAACCTTTGTCTAAACTTGAACTGTCTTATCTAGAAGTTTGTGCGGCAAAACTCAACCACATCAGAAAATAAATGTGATCCTCTCAACAAAAAGAGAAAAAAAAAATCAACATTTGGTGAAAGACTTCAGATGGAAGTCAGATGAAACAAGATTGAGCCTGAGGGGAGGTGAATCATTTCTATAAAACTTTCAGGTCAACTCTCCATACTTTGTAAAGCTGTCTTTTTGTGGCAAATTTTTTCAACCTGTTCCAAAATCTATTCAACCACCTGCCATCTACCTCTCCATCAAACGATTTCTGTCAGCTATGTCTGTACATGTTATTTCACTTAGGGGAACCAGTTTGGACTTTTAACACCTGATTAACCTACAGAGAAATGCTTCCTAGTGCACTGAGCAGGAAATTAGATGTTAGACTAGCCGCACGGACACAGGCACACACACAAACACATCTATATGCACATCTAAAGCTTGTAGGTTTCAACTATTGTAGATCCCTCTTGTCCAACTAATTGGTTTGGGTGTGGGGGACGCTGTTTCTTCTGTTATCAACTAGACAACAGAAGAAAACAACACAAATAGGTTGTGTAAAAGAGTGCACACACATTCTACAGAAGAGCACACTTCTAGCAAAGAAACTATTGATGAAACATCCCAGCAATTAATTCAATTCTTTAAACTTTTAACTAATTTAGTGCTACTCCTAATGCAGGTACAAGCCTCGCAGTAAACTTCCAATAAGTGTTTTGTTGAAGAGTTGAATTTAATTGTGATTAAGATCACTCAGTTGTTCTTATCCATTCAGTCAAATGATTAGAACTTAAAATTGCGACAAGCTATTTTTTTTATGAAAAGGAACTACATTGGCATCTAATTTTAGTTGTACAAATGCTGAATAAATGCAATTTGCATATTTTACCTTCCCAATTGAACCATTTAAAATAACTAATCCCCAGTTGACAAGATCTAAGTTTTATACTATGGCGGTGGTGTGATTGTTACCTATAAGGTAAATATTCAGCATTTTGTATAAAAATGAAACCATAAAAGTTGCATTGACAATGTTAGATGTAGTAAACTCATCAAGGGAATTGATGCCATTAATTGTAAGCTTTGAAGTGTTTAAACTTGACTTAAAGTAGGAGCTGCCCATGGACAAGGTGAACACAGATGTCGGAAGCTCGAGTGGACAAATCTATTATTTGTTAACATACAAAATAAAGAGTGAAACATTAAGCATCTCTGGTTTTAAAAATAACCAGAGTCAAAGTTAAAGTTTCAACTTGAAATCCTAAAAGATGTAGGTGGAAAAACACAAGAATAAGATTACAACAGCATTGTTAAGCTTCAGGTTAAAACAAGTAATAGATCACTGAAACTTGGTGTTCTAACAGGACAAAAAAGTCCAAACACATCATAATTGGTATTGAAATGGATACAGCAGTGGACTTCATCAATGGACTAAAAAAGCAATACCACACAATCTATATACTACACCCATTTTACACCCAAGATTAGTATTTTTGGAAATATCATTTTCACTGTGCGGATTGGAAATACAGTCTGCTAAGTATTCAACTGTTTAATAACTCAACAATAAAATGAATGGTACAATATCTATGATAACGTGTTCTTGCCACAAAAAACAAAACAAAACTATTTGACAAAGAGATAAACTATTTATTTTTGCAACAAAAGTTTACTCTAAGAAACAGCTGAGAGGCCCATGCAGGAACAACAGAAATCCGCAAATGATTAAGATGAATCTAATGACAGGAAAACTATAAGTTGTACCCTAGAAAACCTCTCTTATTAAAAAGAATCACGAACAGAAGTCCACTGTGTGCATAGAAAGTCATACGAAGTCCTTTCTGCAATTGAAGTAGCCATGTAATGGGCACCATAAATAGATGGTAGAGGTTATTCTGTTCAATGAGACCAAAATTGAACATTTTAGCCTTGATGACACTTTTCTACAAAGAACAAATAGAGCCTTCTTTCTCAAGATGCACACAACTCTGTGTTGATTTATATATAAACCTAATAAATAAAGGCAGTAATGATAAAAAAAAATGTTTATGATAACTGTTCAAAACCTTTTTACTGTTAATTACAATGCAATGGGCAAAAAAATGGCACAGTGTATTATTATTATTATTATTATTATTATTATTATTATTATTATTATTATTATTATTATTATTTTTGCAACATGTCAAAATTTGCTGTTTGGCCTAAGTGCCTAGATTATAAAAGACAAAATCACTGAAAATGAGAATGAGATACTTTTAGGGTTTTGACTGAGCTATACAGATGTGCTCAGACACAGAGGCATGCCCTCTCTCATCAATCATTTTATAGCTGTTGATCAAACAAGAGAACAACACATCCTTGAGCCTTTTTCTGCAAAGGTTGGAAGCATTTCTTTTTCAGCACCATGGAGAGCGCCTGGTGATGTTTTCTTCATGCAGTGATCGAGTAATCAGAAAGGGAAGCTTAAACTGCATACTTAATGGTAGAAACAGGGATGGAGATCAAAGCCCGTCCTTCTTCCATGGGTTTATTCATTTTTTTTGTTAAACTTATAATATAATATTCCACATTTATTGAACTTAAATGAGCCAAATTATGAAACATATAGGTATGAAAGAAGTTAGCCAAATTCACAATAAGCCACAGAGGACGAAACAAGTGATCAACAGTTAACAGTTCAGAAGAAGCTGAAACTTTTTTTTTTTTCCTTCTTTACCTCACTTTTACGCGGAAACTCCTTCTGCACGACGCTGACAACTGGCACCTGCAGCGCCAGCGAAATGAATTCCAACTTTACAAGGTCATCCCGGTTCCTGGGAAAGGCGAGCATAGCGGAGACCCCCTGCACGACCACCGTATGACACACGCTCTCCAGGAAAGACAGCGGGTCTTCGTCTTCGGGAATGTCCGTCGAGGAGTATGAGAAGGCTGGCAGCTCGCCCAGCGCCGAACCTACTGCCATAACTATCTCTAGAGATAAATTGTAAGGTAGCAACCCGGCCCGGTTCAGAGCCTCAGCCGCCAGCAGGACCAACTCCCGAGGTGAGAACACGCCATCCTCCTTTGAGGGATTCCCTTCTCGCTGTCTCGCCTGGCTTTTACTCCTACTTGTTCCCCGCTGACTGTTTGCTGCGGCTCTAGTCCTGAGGTTTCCATACCCAGGCGCACCGGCACCTGTTTTGACTGCCTTTCCAAACTCCATCGGCTGATCTCTTGCGAAAGGTCCCTCGGCGCCTTCATAGCCGCTGCCAGGACCTGCGGCCACCAAGCGGGGATGGACGTGCAGAGCTCCCACCCGAACCGTGTGGCCGATCCGCTTAAGCACCTGGCATGGCTGCGGGTGCGAGAGAGCGCACGGAGGGTGGAAAAGGAGAGCGCACAGTAGGAAGCACAGAGGCGGCGAGACCCCGGCGCCTGGACGTGCTGTCGAGACATCCATCACCATCATAATCCCGTTCGACCTCGTCATCCCCGCTCCACGGCTGCACCGCATCCCCAGTCCAACCACTCAACAGCCCACCAGCGGGGCAGCTCCGTCGGTGCCACTGCTGGCCCCCTGCGTTTGGCCCTAGAGTACCACAAAGACCAGCTGCAGCCCTCGCTCCCGCTCCAGCTCCGCTTTCAGTTAAAGTTGTGCGTTTCACTGACACAGACAACAGGCTGTTGAGGCGCAATATCAGGAAGGAGCCACACACAAGCAAAAGATGATCCCCAAAAGTGCTGCTTTTCATCTCAAAGGATTTTCATTTTCAGGTCAGCTGATAACTAACAAAATCTTCCAACCAAACGATATCATTTCCACATATCCCAGAAATATGGTACAAATATGAAGAGGAATGAAGATATGTCCACAAGAGGAAATGTCGATTTTAATGCGCATCAAACACATTCCAAAACAGTAGAATCCTCGACTGCAAAAGCCAGTTGGTCATTGGTTTTAACGAAAAAAAAAATAAAATCATCCCAATATCTCCGCTGTTGGTGGGCAAAAAAACACAGTTCTTACTCCAAATTTGCACAATGACAAACAAAATAAATATCTTTTCCTATCACCCAAGTAAGAGCTTTAAAGAGCGCACGCGCCGATGGCTCGAGACAACCTCCACTGACACTTGCACTGGGAAAGACCTTCAAGAGTGCAGTCCTTTTACGCAAGAATATTTAACCCCATCTGTATGTACGTAACGCATTTTAAATGGACTGAAGTTAATGAAATATAACCATATTATGTAAAATTAGGATGTGAAAATAAGAGGTATTTATTCATATAGAGAAAATAATGAATATCCCAATAAATATTCATGAAACACGACTGACTATAATATGATACAAAATCCATCTAAATCACACCTAATTATACAAAATAAACTAAGCTGACTTCATTAGCAGGTATGACAATTATTGAATTGAATCAAATAGGAACTGCAAACTGAATGTTTACATATTAAATATAAAATGAGGTAATTTATGCTTATTTTAAAATAACTTTAATGTTATATATATTTTATGTACTGTACTGTTTTAAAGAACTTAGTATTTCTGTCTGAGTTAAGTTCCTGTTGCATTTAATGTACTTCAAATGTCCTTATACCTGTTGAATTTTTCAAACATTGTGTCATTATCTGGCCTGTTTGCTCTCCCTTAATTTCTTTCACCTGTCGTTTTCCCTCCCTGCCTCAATTATCATTTATTCCTCTCACCTGTTTCCTTTGGTTTATATTCTGTTCAGCCTGAGCATTCGAGGCCACTTGCTTTGATTCTTTATTATTTTCCTATATTTTAATCATGTAAGGCACTTTGCATTGTCTTTGTACTAAATTGTGCTATATAAATAAATTTGCTTGCCTTGCCTATATATGGTTTGTTAGCTTTTTTCTATATGTTTTGGGTAATTGCCCTGCAGGGAAGGTAAACCCTGTTACAGTTATAAGTATTTTGCAGCCTCTATGACTCTGTATTGAGCCACATCCATTTTCCCATCAACTCTGCAGCTGCATTTCTCAACTGACAAAGTGTCTTCCACAAAAAATTATAGAAACTACACCAGTATTTGATTAAGACCAAGTTTATGGAGTAAATGAATTATAGCTGCACTCTCAAAAGATTCTCCCAAGGTGGGCTTCGGATCTCTGCAGCTCCTCCAGTGTTGCTACAGTTGGTACTTTGTGATGCCTATCTGGCCTATCAATGTAAGTGGCTGCCATGTCTTTATACATTTACATTAATATAGAACTATTAATGTTAATGCCAGACAGTAATTCAAAGCTTATTTATTTTATTTAATGGTTATATCTGTCACAGACAGATATAACCACAGTAGAATATTTTGGAAATCAATTTAGATGTGAAGGAACATGAAAATGTTAATACTTCGTTATTTAGAGTCCTGTAGAAACCAAGTTGGTAATCTAAATGAAAGCTCCTATGTGTTTGATTAATACTCTGGTCTACATAAATGACTGGCTATTAGCCCTGAAATACGTGATCTTCAGTATTTTGTGAAAAAAGAAATGTTCACATTAAATGGGAATGTTCAGGATAAAATGACAGGCTAACTGCAGTATAATAATAATATATAGAAAAAATATAGAAGCCCTACAGGGGGAGATGGATCAGAAGGAATTGATAGTAGGGAGAAAATTGAGAAGAAGGAGATATAAAGAACAGGGAAGGAGAGAGAGAAATTCAATTTACTTCAATTCGTTTTTATTTGCGTTGCTCCAGAACACAACACATGTCATCTCGGAGCATTTTACATGGTGCAGGGAGGTCAAGACCGGCTGTTACTGAGAGCAGCCCCACAGTTTCCCATTAAGAAAGCACGGCAGGAAGAGTGAATGCAGGAGATATGAAGGAGACTGGAAATGGGAGAAATGAAGAAGAGAGAGAGCAGAAAAGGAGACGATGCAACATTTCACTTTTGTTTAGAAAAAGAGCAGGGACAAAGCAAAAATATAAAGTTTGATTGTATATACCACTCCCAAGAATGAGAAGAAAAACTGAAAATATGTAATTCAGTGCATATATGTCAAAAAGTCATAATAGCAAAAAGAACAAAATAATCTGTCTCTACAGCAAAGCTGTGGAGTTGAAAAGAAAACGTTATTTCGGTTTTTGATTTCCTCTGACAACTGAAATGAAGAAAGGAAATGCTTTTTAGTTTTATAAAAGCATGTTCATCACAATGTTTTTTTTCCTGTTTATCACAAAGTTTACTTTTTCACAAATTCAGAAACTTTTAGAAAATGTATTAAAGATGGTATCCTTTTTCCTTTTCATGTCAATGGTAACTGTGTTATTTTGTGTTTCCAAGATGGAGCATTGTCTGTTAGATAGCACAGTGGTTTAAATATCATCACTTCAGCACTTTGTTCCTTTTGGTTTGTTTGAAGACAACATTAATGATGAATAAACACCTCTCCCTGCCACATGCTTTCTTAAAAATGACAACAATATTTCCCCAGACATACTACAGGTTGACATTCCGTTCTTTTCTCAGTGGAAAAAAAGATAAAACATAATCATAAAACTGGTTCACAGAATAATTCATATCAGATTTATTGTAAACCATATTTATATCTTTATATGAACTAACTCCATACATAGATTAATTTATATTTCTATATGAAACATTGGGACTTATACCCCAAAAACCTGTCCAAAAGCATATGCTTCTAAGTGCTGTTTTAACAGCAGCATTCTTTTCAAAACTTTTATACTGAAATAAGAGAATGCAGTTCTAACACTTATGAACTTCTTTAATTCATAACAATTAAATGAAGTTGGTTCCACTTAATTTATTTGGTTCATTAGTTGTTACGATAAACTGTGTTAAGTTGGGTAGACTTAATTCTACAACATTTCCATTGATGAATATAAGTTGGAGCTACATTCTCTTTTTAGAGTGGGTGGCACATCTGCTTGCTTTAAATATTTCCCTTTCATGTCATAGTTTGTCTGTACCCACAATCTGTATGTCAGCTTTTCATGCTTTAAAAGGTTATTCAATTTTGCTCTCCACCTGACATGTTTGTTTTTGTTTGTCTAATTTTGTTTTATTCTCATCTGAGTTTTTGTCTGATCTCTTCTCTGGCTAAATATTCATTCATGGTCCCTTATCTGCTTTCCCAACCCTTTCCCCATTTTTTCTGCATCCATTTCTCATCTTGCTGATTTCCTCACCTGTCAGTATAAATTTTATGTCAGCATGATTGCACAGCTGTACTCCTCCATGTCAGTCTAACGCCACACATGTTTTACTTCATGTGAAGTCTCATCCTTATAAGATGCAGCATCAGACTTTCCTGTTTCTTTCAGCCTGCCAGGCAAATTCTCTACATGGTGGCCTTCCCTTTCAGTAAAAAGAGCCAACACACAGTTTAATCCTCAATGCTGCAGGTGAAGGTTATGAGATGAATATATAAAAAAAAATGTCTAATACACATAGTTTCTGTGATTCTGTATTAAAAACACTTTTAGGTTTGTCATCTGTTTCAAAAACTTACAATTTTGAAAAGACTTAAAATATCTTTCTATTTCTAACTCTAACTTAAGGTTAAAGGGTAAAATGAATCAAACATAGATACCTGCTCTTTCTTTTTCAAGGATAAATGATCTACAGTAGTCTCATCTAAAGCTTTGTGGCAAAAGTTTCTCTGTATTGGTCGGGTAATAGCTACTCCTGCTAAAGGGGAACGTTCCAGCTCATTAGCTCAATTTAACTGAGTTTCCAGGTCCCTGTTTTTTTTATTATATTGCAATCTGTTTTTTTTTATTTTAATAAAGCAAAAATACTTCTTGCAGCATTAGTTGTGACACAAATGGCACCCTGGGCAACTCTTTCTCTAACCTTAAAGGAACAGAAAATGAAAACACTATGGTAAAGATCCTTTCAATATCTGATTGTATATTAGGGACTCTCTGATCTGTACAATAATGATTTAAAAGGAAAGGTTTCTCCCATATAATGTTCAGAGCAATCTTCACTGCACTGAACTGCATACACAACCCCGCTTATCTTAGGTTTGGGGGTTTTGTCCTTTGGAAATACCGGTAATGGAACCTAAGATGACCGGAGTGGTGTATGCTTTAAATAACGACCCTAAAGACTAGGGGTGTAAATAAACATAGTTTTGTATCGATCTCTCGATCCAATAGCCGATGATCCAATGCATCGACACGTCTGCAAGAGTAGCGATTCATGTTTATTTTTTCCTCCGGTCTATTTTTATCCATTTGCTCCTGGACGTAATTCTCACTCCCGTGCTGCGGTGGCGCTAAACCTATTTTGCCCTTCTACCTCGCTTCGTTATACTCCTGCAGCAGTGTGTCGCAGTAAGCTTGACGCAGACATTTTTGATTTATGCAGGGTCTGCACAGTACGCTGTTGGTCTAGACACGGCCCAGGAGGTGAGGAAGTGGGGGCGAGTTTGTCCAACAACGGAGGGACATGACGGTGAATCATAGCGGGGATCCAAGTGGAAAAAGGGTACCAGCGTTCTTGCGCACCTCGCTCTTCTAGCTGGTCCAACTTCATGAGTTGCTTTCCGCAATTTCGGTCATAAAAACAAAACAAGCCGGCCTCCTGTCTGCGGTCAGCTACAATTTGGTATTGCATTGCACACATTGCACTGATTTTGTACAGTATTTTTTGATGCAAGGCCTTTTAGAATCTAGAACGCAGGGTTATTATTATTTTTAAGTGAATGAGGTTTTAATAGGACTAGGTGGAGTACACATTTTCTACTTCTGTTATTTGCTGTTGTTTCTCAAATAAAATGCATCACAATGCATAACAATTAATTTTCAGGTTTTCTAAGCCATAATAAGGCTTTTGTTGAGAAGGCTATCTGGACGGAAAGTGAAACATCTTAAGACTTGGAAAACAAAGTCCAGTGGTTTGTTTTTAACTTATTTTTTTGAATTCCATTCAACTTGATTGAACTGCCTGCAGTTGGAGCAAACAGGTTTGTCAAAACAATAATTTCTTATGCTACTGCAATGAGATATTTAATTTGAAGGCTTTTTTTTCTTCAATACAGCCAGTTGTGTATGGCTTCTGTATTAGAGTGCACATTTTTCTATTTTGATCATTTTGCTCTGCTG